CAGAGAATTATTGGGGTATTCAGGATCTGTGCAAACATCAGGTTCTCTATGAAAGATCAGAAATCTTCCCTTAAATCCTTCCCTTAGAGTTAATCTAAGAAATAGCCTGCAACTGATGAATGCAGACAAATGCAGCTCTTAAAAGTAAGCAAACAAATAACACCAGGATGGTTTTCCATATAGGAACACAAGACAAAATCTAATAGACGTAGCTAAAGAAACATTTCACCTATCAGAAAGGGTTTGCCTGGGAATCCCAGTAATTAGGGGGAAAAGGGAGACTCTGAGAGCACTGAGTGGGGGTATGTCTTGTTTTACAGAAAGAGGCAGACATGATGGAGGGGCAGGTGGGGCCGGGAAAAGCTGTAGTAGTAAAACATTCAGCTTCATTTTCTCTAGTCCCAAACACACTACTGGTCATCTGGCTTCTCAGGATGCTGGCCTTCAAGGAGAGACGACTTTATCCTGTGTGTGTAATTGCTCTGCCTGGCAGTTAATGTTCTCATGATAAATTGGTAAATTGACATCTAAAATACAACAGCCTTTTATTAGACCTAGTAAACCATCTCAACTGCTTAAGTCCAATAAACTAGGCACTGATGAAAATGAGTCTGTTACCTCCAAATCCTAACCCCGTCCTTACAACACCAGGTCAAATGGAATCTCTGATCTTTTCGGAGGGAGAGTGTTTCCCTGTTCTGGCTTCCAAAGGATAATGAGTACAGTCCAATGCCTGGCAGGCTGGCACCGAGTAAACACTTGCTGAAAGGAAACGATAGCTTTCATTATTATTCATCTTTCTTGTGGCATTTATTTATTTTTTCAGCTAACATTTATTGAAACTTGAAACTGTGCCAGGCCCTGGGCACATAATGACAACTGCTTTCTTTTTTGTGTGTATGTTCATTATATCATTAGGTATAAATATTCATATATTCATACATCTCATTCCTTCACTAAAATGTAAGATTCTTAAGTGCAAGTCTCATGTCTCACACCACTTATGTGGCATATTTTACTCTCTGCCTTATTCTATCAAACTATTTATACATGTTTTATCTCTCTATAAGAGTTGTAGGTTCCTTGAGAATTCTTTTCATCCCCTTTCATAGTATTTTACACAGTAGGTCTTTAAGAGATATTTATTGAGTAAAGTAAGTGAATGCTCTTATCGAAAAAATCTCTTCCTGCACATATTGATTGGTTCATTCCAAAAATGACTGACAACTGGAACTAATTACTCTAATAAGCAGGGTGGTTTCTATACAACAATATTTTGGGGTAGTTTATGATGTTCACAAATGTTTGTTTACTTACAATTTCACTACTTCTTTCATTTAAAAATTTAAACTACCTGGCAAGATTTCACACTACCCAAGAAGCTGTGGGGAAACCATCATTTTATTTTCAGTGATATATTAACTTGATATGAAGATGATCAGGAAGTAAAGTCTGTGTCAGTTGGTTATAAAAGCTATATCAATTGGAGAAGAGAGAACTGAAAGACAGTCTAATAGTCATCCAATGATTTAAAATATTAGGGGAAAAAAACAGCTTTAAAGGGTCTCGAGGCCAGTGTCTTCATTTTGCTGAGGATAGAGAGCTCTGTCAGGATGCGTAGTAGAGTCACACCCCAAACTCAAATCTCCCACCCAGAGGACCAAGTGTGGCTCTCTCCAGGGTCCTGCCCATCCATGGAGAAGTTCTGAAGTTCTGCAAGCTTGCACAGAAGGAATTCAGCAGACGTTCATACACATGTCTAGCCTACTCTTGGAAATACAGACAACCTTTGCCCATTTAATGTAGTGGCTTTAAGTTCTTTTTCAAAGAAAAAGGGCATTCTGTGCACGTCGGACCACCCCACCCCATGGACAATAATGGGAAATATGAGAAGAAAATAAAACTGGCACACCTGATAGCATCCTTGGCTTGACTCCCTATCCCACTGCTCATTCTGACGATGACTATGATTTCTTTTACTGGATGATATGAGTGTGACTGTGGGTGCTGTTGGCTTGTTACATAGACCAGGTTTTGTTGTTCTGCCTGAGTAAAGGCAAACTCCAGACTGCTGACCTGTAGACTTTTTGAGTGGTTCTGATGGAATCATCATTTTTACTTCTTAAGGTTACAGTGAGTACAGATGAGCTGTCAGATAAGTAACAGGACAGCCAGACCAGCCGGGAGCTGCTGCATTCTTCACCTGCCTGGGAGAAGTGAAAAGGTCAAAAAAGGTTGTCCCGTAAGAAACCTAAGGCAAATTGAGGGCCAAGTAGCTTATCCCACCCCTTAGAGGGGAGTGCTTCTCACAGTCAGCCAGAGCCAGAGGCTGCTGTTGTGTCTATAGCCAAAGAAATACCCCTAAAGACAAAAGGTTTGATCTCCAAAAGATATGTGATTAGCAAATATGAATCACTGTACCAGATTCTGCTACTTCCACCATTTGAAACAGGTGAAGGAATCAGTGTCCAGAACCAGGAAAGGCTGCTTTTCTTGAGCAAAGAAAGAGTCCAGACCAGGGGTTCTCACCCCTGGCTGCACATTAGAATTACCTGGAGAGTTTTCAGGAATACAGATGCTTGGATCTTACCCTGCACATTCTGGTTTAATTGGTCTGAAAGTGGCCTGGGCCTTAGGCCAGATTGAGTTAATCACAGGCTTAGAGGCTGACATATTTTAGGATCAGTGATGCTTTCTGCCTGCTGACTAATGAAAGCAGAAGTCCAGCCCAGTCATTCTCTAAAGGTGGTTCCAGGGTCAGCTATTAGCATTACCTGGGAATTTGTTAGAGTACAACCTCTCAGGCCCCACCCCAGACCTACTGAATTAGAATTGCTGGGGTTGGAGATCAGCATTCTGTATTTTTGTAAGCCCTCCACATGATTCTGATCCTTGTCAGGTTTGAAAACCACTGATCTAAGTCAAGACTTTGGTACCCAAAGTGTGGTCGACAGACTGGTAACATCTATATCTCCTGGAGCCTGTTAGAAATGTCATAGACCTACTAAATCAGAATCTGCATTTTGACAGTATTCCCAGATATGTGTATGCGCACTGAAATTTGAGAAGCACTGGTCTAAGAAACAGTGGCTGATTAGTGTTCTCACTGGATTTTAGTTGTCATGTTTCAGAACGTTCAGGTACGGGGACAAGAGCACAGCCAGAGCTGATAAGGAAAGCTGTGAATTTGTATCTGTTACCTCTGCAGGAAGAGCCTATCAGTAGGATATTGACTCAAAGACATATCAGTGGTAGATACAGTGAATGTAGTAGTAATAAGAATGGCTACTGTTTATCATATAGTTACATTGAGCTTTATAGGTATAATTGCATGTAATCCCTGTAGAAAACCAGAGGGGGATCATCCATCCACTCATTCATGCATTCAACTAATATTGTATTATATACGTATGTATGCCAGGCACTTTTCTAGGCATATCTCTATAATCTAGGGATATAGCCCACCCACCCAGCCACCCTTGCCCATTATAAGGCTCAAATCTAGATGAAATAGCAAACAGTAATAGATAAACTGACGCATAATAAAGCCGTAGGTCTTATGAAGAAAGGAAAATGTTATAAGGGGTGGAGATGAAGAGTGACAAGGAAGTGCTACAAGGTAGTGAGAGAAGGAAATCCTCTCTGAGCAGGTGACATTTGAGGGAAGACATGCAGTTCTTAGGGGGTAGAATATCAAAGAGGACGTAGTGAGTGGGAGACAGTGGTTAAACATAAGTTTGGAAGATTGCCGCAGGCCAGGTCAGCCTAAAACTAAATTGCCTTATAAGCCATGGTTAAGTCTTTAGAGACCAGGAAACTGAGCAGGGCTTTTCAAACTTTAAGGGGCCTGAAAATGACCTGGGACATTATTAAACTGTAGTGTGCAGTCGGTGAGTCTGCATTTCCAACAAGCTCCAGGGATGCTGCTGATCCTGGTCTATGGGCCACACTTAGATTAAGCAAAAGGTGTGGGGTTCAAGAAAGGTTCTTGTGTGCACTCTGTTCATAGAAGAACAGTTTATCCTCTTTTATTTTTTATATGTTTTTTAAAATGTTTGTTTTTAAACCAAAAAGGAGAAACATGAGCAGGGGAAGGGCAGAGAGAAAGGGAGAGAGAGGATCCCAAACAGGCTCTGTGCACAGTCAGTGCAGAGCCTGATGCTCGGCTGAATCGCAGGAACCCCGAGCTCATGACTTGAGTCGAAATGCGAAAAATAGTTGGATGCGTAACTGACTGAGCCACCTAGGTGCCCCATCCCTTTTCATTTTGTAGGAGAAATAATAAGGAAAACCGAATGCCTTGGTAACTGTTGATACTTTGTACTGTTTCTTGTGAATATTTAAAAGATATAAGATATACCTGGTATCAGAGAGACAAGTGATATCATGCATGATCATCTCAGTATAACACCAAACTACTCTTGAGCCTCAAAATCCAATGCATTATGCTTGCAGTAACTGACTTGAGAAAGCCAGCAGTTGAGCAGTCCTGGAAGTCAGGCTCCCTCTGGCCTGACCTCCCCAGATGTCCCTGCTCTGACCCCGGAGCAGCCTTGCCTTTGGTTCTCTTCACCACGTGGGGGATGCTCCGGATTCCCGGGTGTGGAAGGGCTCTGGGGAGTCCGAGAGACACGAACCGGTTTCCATGCTCAAATCAGTTGGGCTTGAGTAGAAGACAGAACAAACCAAAATGGGGTGGGGGTGGGGTATAGAGTGGCAGTATTTAGCTCAGGGCTTCTTCCTTTCATGAAAACAAGCATAACTTTCAGCATCAAACAGATGTTCAAAGGACAGGACTACTCCTCACTTTCCCCGGTCACTTGATATTCCTGGGGTCTTCCTTGAACCTGGGGCCAGAGAGGGGTTGGAGAAGTGGGGAGATGTTCTGTGTATGTACTGTAGATGCCGCTGCCTTGATGAATGACATGGTTTGGTTTGGTTTGTTTCCCTCCCCTTTTGTTAATTCTCTGTGTTCTCTTTCCTTTGTGCTGCACGATTAGGACCCTGCAGTGGGACACAGACCCCTCAGTGCTCCAGCTGCAGTCAGACTCAGAACTTGGGTATATGTCTGCTCTTTTGTTACTCCTTTCATGATTTCTTTGCTACAGTTGTTTTGAAATGCTGGAGCTCTTGCTTGCTCATGTCCCCCCCCACCCCCCCCTTTTGTTGAACTTCCAGTTTGAGAAGTTTATTTCCTTCTGTTAGTTTTCCTTATAAAGCTGAGCTTTGAAGAAAGTCTCTCTTTGTGGAAAACACCACAAAAAGGTGGCTTTTGATGTCTTCTTAATTCGTGTTCCTGCAAAACAACACTCCTCCAGAACAAATACACAAACACACACCCACCCTTCTGCTTCAAGGTGGGGTGCACGCTTTCTGAGGGAGGAGATACATTTGATAATACCCTAACCAGCCTTCCCCTTTACTAACAAATTGCCTTAGGTTCTGTCTCAAATTGATATGAAAATGTCCTGTCTTGTTTGTTTCCTTTCCTTTTTACTTTTCTGGGGGACTCACAGTAAATATTTAATATGAATTAAGTTTGAAGATATAAAGATTCTTGTTAAATTAAAAGCACATTCATTGAATTTCTCAATATTAAGAAGTCTCAGATATTTGATGGTGAATAATGTCTCCTACATTGTAAAGACCATTTTTTTTCAGATGGAACTGTACTGTCACAGGTTAAAAGATAGCTTCGGAATGGAAAACTCATCCTCAAAGAATAAAACACACAAGCATATCCTAGAAACTGAATTTCTTTCTCTTGTGGTACTGGAGTGAGCCATAGTGACTCATGAGATATTGCCAGTGGGGTACTGGGAGCAGCTCGTGCCCAAGCGCAGGAGAGCCAGCCTGTGTGTTTCTCTTCCCAGCTTTGCATTCAGTGAAATCAGCCACGGTGGAAGTATTTACACGTAAAAAGTGATAAATGTTACAAACCAGGGTTTGCTCCCTTTACCTCAAGCCAGTTAACAAACATGTACCAAATATGCCACTTGATCCCTCCATATGTGAATAGCACATTTTATTACAGTATTTTATGAAATTATCATGTTTTCTTTCTGAATTTAACCCCATAAGTCTCAAGGTGGCATTTGTTTACTTGCTTATTTATTTATAATTTATTTTGAATTCCTGAGATTCCTGGACATGGATCTATGGGTCTCTATCCATGTCAGTGCCTGCTGTAGGTGTCCAGGGAGGTTGAAGGACTGTCTGGGTGTTAGATTAAATGCCATCTGCCTGTGTCCCTTTATATATGCAAGAGTTCTCAGAAAACCCACAGCCCTGCCAAACCAAGGAAATATCGCAACATTTCAAGTAACTGACTGAAAACACTTTTTCAACATTACTAAATTTTGGGCTATTTAGTTTTGTAGTGTATTGTATGTCACATTTAAATTTTTATTACTTGAATGATCAAGAAATGTGGCTTAAATCAAGCACAGAAACATGAAGATATAGCCTTGTTACAACTGAGGGGAATTTCAGAGTGCAACCCTTCAATATTTCATTGTTTTAAGAAAAAATAGAGGATGGAACTAGCACACACTCTACCCGATGCACTTAAATTAACAGATTTTTAGACAGATTGTGGCATTGCTAAATTACACTTGCTGATGTGGAACAGTTGGGACTTTTCCCATTTGTATGTGTTTTCTAAGCTAAAACTCAGTTGACTACGCAGATTAAAACTTGTGACTTATTCTGGGGAGATGGCATATTTGTGACTCCCACCTTGCCTGTCACATTTTACTTCAGAGCAGACCCAGTGAGTCAGAGAAAGATGAGAAATGAGATTTTCTGTTCGCTGAGTTGTTGGTCATAGAGAGTTTGTAAGGGGCACTGAGAGACTATTGGAGAGAGGAGATGATTTTAGCCAGGTTACAATTTCAGATGCTGATTAGTGAAAATTTCCCTTTTCTGACAGTCGGTGTAGGGCAGTCTTTCTCTTATACACAGTTTTATGAAATGTACCTCAGGCAACAAGACTTTTCTGGAGATTTTATCTCCTCTTCTTGATGCTTGGCATGGGGTTGACCATAGGCCATAGCTTGCCCTGTCCCTTGGTTGTTTTTTTTTTAAATTGAAGTATAGTTGACATACACTTGTTTTTTTTACAACAACTTTATTGAAGTATAATTGACAAAAAAAATGCACACATTCATTCAGATTGGTAAGTTTTAACATGTGTATACATTTTATGAAATCTTCACCACAACAAAGATAATAAACAGAGTCATCATCTCCCAGTTTCCTCACAGCCCTTGGCAACTCTCACCCTGCTTCCTCTTACCCCTCAAGACAATTGATCTGCTTTCTGTCACTATACGTTGATTTATATTTCCTAGAATATTATATAAATGAAACCATGCGATATGTACTCTTTTGACTGACTTCTTTCATGCAGAATAACTGTTTTGACACTGATTCATGTGAGGTGTTCATCAACATTGGCAAATTTATTGGCCTAAAGTTGTGTATGTATTCTCTTATTATTTTTTAAACATCTACAGAATCTGTAGGTACAGTCACCTCTCTCATTCTTCATATTGGCAGACTTTGTCTTATGTCTTTGTCTTCTGGTAAGTATGGCTAGAGGTTTATCAACTTTATTGATATTCTTAAAGAACCAGAATTTGGTTTCATTGGTTTTCTCTATTTTTCTATTTTCTGTTTCATCAATTTCTACTCTGATATTAATGATTTCTTTGACCTACTTTGTGTTTAATATGCTTTTCCTCTTCTAGTTTCTTAAAGTGGAATCAGAGGTCATTGACTTGAGACCTTTCTTCACTTTTTTTTTTTAGTTTAGTTTTTAATGTTTATTTATTTTGAGAGAGAGAAAGAGTGTGAATGGGGAAGGGATAGAAGAAGAGGGAGAGAGAATCCCAAGCCCTGGTGCAGGCTCAATCTCAGAACTGTGAGATCATGACTTGAACTGAAATCAAGAGTTGGGTGCTTAGCCGAATGAACCACTCAGGTGCCCCTAGACCTTTCTTTGTTTCTAACATAGGTATGTAGTGCTATAAAATTCTCCTTAACTGCTGCTTCGTGGTATCTTGCAAATTTTGATATATTCCTATCATTTTCATTTAATTCAAAATACTTTCCAGTTTCCCCTTTTTATTTCATCTTTAACTGATGAGCTATTTGGACGTGTGTTATTTAGTTTCCACATATTTGGGGTTTTTCCAGAGATCTTTCCGTTATTGATTTCTAATTAAATCATTTTGTGGTTAGAGAACATATTTTCTATTTTTGTGTCCTTTTAATTTGTTCAGACTTACTTTATGGTCCATAGTATGATCTGTTTTAGTAAATGCCCTATGTGCCCTTGAAAAGGTTGTGTTGTGTTGTTGTTGGGTAAATGTTCTATAAATATCAGTTAGGTCAATTTGGTTGATTATGTTGTTTCAGTCTTCCATATCTTTTGCTAATATTCTGTCTGTTGACTCTATCAATTATTGCTAGAGGGGTGAGATTTTCAACTACAGTTTTGAGTTTTTCTATTTCTTGCAATTCTGTCAGATTGGGCTTCATGTATTTTGAAATTTTGTATTAGGTGCATAAATGTTTAGGATTCTTATGTCTCTCTTGATAAATTGATCTGTTTATCATTATGAAATGAACTTCTTTGGTAATGTATTTTGCTCTGAAATCTCCTTTGTGTGACATTAATATTAAATATAAATATAAATGTATATTTAATTAATTTAATTAATATTAAATATAAATGTAAAACCACTCTAGCTTTCTTTTGATTAGTGTTAGCATGGTATATCTTTTTTCACTCTTTAACTTTTAGTTTCATTTGTTTCTTTACATTAAAAGTACATTTCTTATAGGCAACATGTAATTGGGCTTTGTATCTTTATCTATTCTGATAATCTCTGTCTTTTAATTGGGATATTTGCACTATTTGCATTTAATGTGATTATTGATATGGTTGGGCTTACATCTATAATCCTGATATTTGTTCTTTATTTGTTCTATGCATTAAAAGGCAAAAGATTTATGCGAACTGAAGAGAAACCAGAGTATTGTCCTATGTATTCTTCTTTCCTTTTATTATTATTTTTGGTGCTTCCTTTTGTATTATTGAATTTTTTCTTATTCTATTTTATATTTTTCTTGACTTATTAGCTGCATCTCTTTGCTTTATTATTTTAGTGGTTGTTTTAGTGCTTATCTTTAACTTATCACAATCTACCTTCCAATGATATTATTCCACTTTCTGTATAGCATAAGAACCTTAATACATTTATATTTAACTTCTTGACTTTCGTGGTATTGCTTCCATACATTTTATTTTTATGTTACAAAGAATACACTGCATTATTTTTGTTTTTATGTAACTAGCCAATTATCACTGAGATTAAAATAATATGATATTTTCCAACTTGGCGATGTGAACCACTGACTTTGGGCCCAGGATATTGCCTCCTCAGTGATGGTAGATCTCATTGTATCTGTCATTGTAAATGGTTCTGATGGCTTTCACCAGCTTAGCCAGAGTTCCTTTGTCTTCTGAGTTAACCTGTGTGAAGGCGACAGTGGTGCAGGTCTTCCTGTGGACCAGACATCCCAGCCTGGCCTTCCCCTTGATGAAGCAGTAGGGAACCCCCATCTTATGACCCAGGGCAGGCAGCTGAGCTTTCTTGCTTTCCCCCAAGGTCACGATGGTGTTAACCCCAGCTCAAAGTACAGGCGGCCTCTTAGTGGGAACATCCCCTTTGCCGGCGGCTCTCTTCTAAGCCCAGGCCAGCAATCCCTGCTTCATCTCTTGCTTGGTCTCTGGTCTGTATTTGTGGGCCAGCTTAAGCAGTTGAGTAGCTGTTTGGCGATCCAGGGCCTGGGTGAACTGGTTAATCACAGGAGGCACTTTTAGATGTTTATAGAGAATAAGCCTTTGCTGCTGTGGCAGGATGTAGTGGGGCCATTTTGACAAAGTGCATGAGGCCCCTTTTGGGCTGGATGTCCTGTCTGATGACAAAATTCTTGGGCCTTTTCTCAAACAGGGGTTGACTACCTTCTTGGCTTCCCACGTCTTCATAAC